AGAGCACAGACCTCTGAATGACAACATCAGCCAGGTCACACAGAAAGAGATTTAGCAGCCTTGATATATCCTTTACAGACTCACTAAATCCCTGTGGTTCTAACACTGTTTGGGGTACACACACTGTGATGAAGGAAGTTCAGGTTTCAACAGTTATGTCACTGCACGGCAAAACAAAACTGAGACATATTCTGCATCTCCGAACTAACATACCCATTTTGTCTCCGAATGTGTTAACCTCAAACACACGCTGGAACATCAATGCTTGTTCCGCATCGCAGTCGGGGATCAGCTTGGTTCCCTGTGACTTGTACTTGGACTGTTGGGGGGAAAAAAACAGCAAGAAGCTCTCGTTCTTTACATCTGTGGTATAGTGTGTCTGTTTTTACAACGCACTGTTAAAAATATAATCACAAGCAGCTCTGCTACCAAGGAACTCCATGGCAACAAATTCAGAGTTCTCACCTCTAAGAAGAAGCATACACCGCAGGACTCATTGATGATTTTGTCCCCACATTTGAAGGAAGGAAGCTTTAAGAGACAGTGCAAGGAAAACCATAAACACTTTGTTTGGTTCAAGTCTTCTTATTTGTGAATGCCAAGTGAATACTCCATTTACTCCATTTCAGGAAAACAAATGCAGATTTCAAATATGAGAGTTTTTACATTGTGTGATATGAACCTACCTGACCCCTGGGGTTAATGTCCATGACTTCCTTTGACTTGTGCTCCCCCTTCTCAAAGGACAGCAGTTTTTGGTTGTATCCTTGCAGGTTCTTCTCCTCCAGAGCGATCATTATCCTCCAGCAGGGAGGAGATCCGGAGCCCCACAGCAGAGTTATGTCCTTGGCCATGATTTCAGAGTGAAGCGCTTAACCTAACAGCTGAAGTTGAGGAAGGTTGAAGACTGGAGCTGCAGTCGATGAAAAGGCTGGCTTTATAGCTCCAGTCTTCTATGTCAGGTTTCCTGGAAATAAGCCCCATCCCATTTCTGTGCTCCAGCCAAAGAGCTGTCACACCAAGATAGCTAATGCCTGTAAATGTTAAACACGACATGACGTCAACCTGATCCTGATGAATATTTAAGACGTGTATTCAAAAAACAAAATAAAGTGAGATTTAGTAACTATTTCTGTGTGAATTGTCTTTAAAATAGAATGCAGCCACAAGTACTACAAAAGACGTGTGGAGGAGAGGTGACTTCTCTTGCTTTTTATAGAAACTCTTTGATCCGAAGGCGGCCAAAGAATGTGAGGGTACATGGGAAAGAGGAAACATGAAAAAACTCCAGCGAGTCAGGAAAAAAAAACAAAAAACCTTAACATTAACGGGTGGAACATTTTTCTAAGACACAATAAAAGACAACGAAGCCACACGGAAACAGTGTTTAAAGTAGGATATAGTGGAAGTTAGAGTGTTACTGCTATGCGCCCGTGTGGTTAGGGCTCTTGCAGCTTTTTGCAGTTAAACCTTTTATCGCTAATAACTGTTGCATATCAATAATTCAACGATTCCTGCAGTAGTTCGTTGTTTTGCTGCTGCTGTTGCTGGTGAACGACGCCCTGAGAAGTGAAACCCGCGGTGATTCAACACTTTGTATTCAAATCTGCACACAGTTCTGACATGACCGATAAATCACAATTACACTGAATGCATCTAATAGGACCGTGACAATGCAAATAAAATAAAATGTGTATGACTGATTAAACTGTTGGGCGCATACTCGGCAGTTTGCTTCTCTGAATCTTTGACCTCTTTGCAGCGGGCACATAAGCAGCTGTGAATATCATTGTATCAGTAAGGCAATGACGCAAACTGTGTGTGCGCCTACATTACTGCAGTTGCTATGTCGGCATTTTGAGTCCGTTTCAAAGGGCAGTTTGTTCGTGCATGCAAAGAACAGTAGTGAATCCGGTTTGATAATAAATCGGTATTACAAAAATAACAAAGGCAGCATGTACAGAATGACAAATGCTTTCTCTCTCTCTCTCTCTCTCTCTCTTTTTAAATGCTGTTGGTTTTGTCATGTTGAACCTGTTCCGCATGCATCAATCACCCTCGTGCATGTTTGTTCTCCCTTTCACTCCGAACATTCATTAATAACGGAACGTTATGTTTTTGTGTTTGGTGTTTAGAAAAGAAAAGTTTTTTTGAAGTATTTTGAAAAAAAAAATCCCAATATTTTACTTTTATTTTGGAATATCAAGCAAAACTACCCATAAGGTTATGAGAGAGTTCCTGTATTTAAGCATGTAAACTCAATGTATTCTAGTAAACAGCTTAAACTAAATTCATAACTTGTACATGACTGCGATACTCGTTCATGACTCCTCCCACTTTTGTTTTAGTGAGGCTTTTTCATGAAGTGACATTGCAACAATCATGTGGTCTGTGTTTGTATGAGAGAAATCTGTGCCATCAGAAAATGAATTTGAATAAGTTAAATTCGAATTCGAATTGCTCGGATTTAACGTGAATTGTAACTTGAATAAATGCTTTTAAAAACTGAATATGAATTAGCCTAATTTGAACTGAAATTGAATTTTATAGTTTGAAAATGAATTCATTTGCTTTGTAATTGTATTTTATTGTTTAAAAATTTAGCTCTCGAATAATTTCAGATTCACTTCTCACCATTCAGTTTCAGTTCTACAATTCAATTTCAGTTCCAAAATTCAGTTTTTTGGGGACTTACATCCGGTTCTGGTTCAAGAGTAATCGAGCGCAGATTAATAGAACTACGTTTTACTAGCGGACCGAAAGTGTAACTGACGGGAACCTACAGCGTCTTGAGCTGAATTAAGACTTCAGAAGTCATTCATCATGTCGAATGACCAGCGGATAAACTCTCAGGTTGGTAATAAATGTATTACATGTATAAGGGATGCTGTGTAAGACATAAATAAAGCTAAAATACAAAGGTTTGGACACCGTTTTGCATGTTTCCCTACTGTAGGGGTCTCTGCAAGCATACAGGGCTCTGACAGGGTACAAGATGACAACTTTGGAATTCTACTAGAAACAGTCGATCATATTTGTTTGTCAAAGCTGAATTAAGGGCAAACTACGCTAAATTAGCGTTTTTAGCTAACAGCTACAATAAGCATAAAAGTTACTGTACAGCTATCATTTGTTAACATGACGCTTGTTCTTATACATGTAATACATACATTCATTTTCAAACTATAAAATTCAATTTCAGTTCAGTGATGATCATTTTCAAACCAATAAATTGAATTTCAAATTAGGCTAATTCATATTCAGTTTTTAAAAGCATTTATTCAAGTTACAATTCACATTCAATCCGAGCAATTCAAATTCAAATTTAACTTATTCAAATTCAGTTGTTGATGGCACAGATTTCTTCCCATATGTTTGTGTCAGTATGCTGAGATGACAGCAAAGTATTTAGAAGTTTTGTGTGTACTGATATTTATCTTTAGCCACAAGTTAACACATGTTTCAAGGCTTGTTCTAACCTGCAATGCAACTGTAGGCAGAGTAAAGTAGGACAAAGCACAGAGGTTAGCATGCCCAAGTAAACCACAGGCTGCTGGTTTCATTACTACGATCATAAATGTTTTAATTGCAGTTGCATTAAACCTCAAATAAACATAATGAGTAATACATTATCATCAGGTCGTTCTAAAAGTTTCCAGAACAGCCATCAGTTAATCCAAAGCTCTGTTGGGTTAGAGTGAGAGTGCTGACAGAGAACATGTAGATTTAACATTTAAAATTGTGTTTTAAATATAAAAAGTTACAAATATTTTACTAATTGTTGTAAAAAATGACTCGAAAAAAACATGTTTTTGTAAAGATTTGAGCTAAATGTGGAGAAATATTGCCGTGAATTTCAGCGTGTTTCACTTTACAAACGTCACCACATAGTGAAAGGGCCGTCTGATTGTTGGGGTTGATTGTTTTCTCTGTGTTATTGCAGATCTTTACCTCACAGTATAAAGCCCTTTGAGGCAACTGTTGTGATTTGGTGCTATATAAATAAAGTTGAACTGAAGTGAATGTGCTTATGTCACTGAATAGCCACACCTGTAAGCTGCTATGTGACTCGACTATGTCTTTTTTAAAAAGCTTTTCTCCAACAGTGAAGTGGTTGAGCATAGTTTACATTTATAAACTGCTTGTATAACTGCACAGATAACCTTTCCTGTGCACTCTGCAAACACAGCTACTTGAAAATAATGGAAATGACTTTTTGTGATCCTTTTTTTCCCCCATAGGACTTAAGCTGGCTCTCCCATTAAGAAAGAAAGAAAACACACACACAAACACACACGTAGAAGTTTGTTTGTGTCTGTAGACAGACTTCCTGATGTATTGTGAGTATGAATTGTGGGTGACAGGTTGATATTTCACATTAGAACATGTACCACATTATTTCTTTAATCACATCAAAAGGGACATCTCAGCAGTAATCATAAAAACAAGAACATTTTGATTTAATGTCCCCTTCTGTCAAGACTGCACAGGTGCAGGATGAATGTAAGGTGGGTGTCTCAAATAACAAATGTGACAAAGTCACTGCAGAGCAGCGCAGACAGCAGGAAAAGTTAGCTCAGTCTAAGATGCCTTTAAAAGTCTCACTCCAACAGTGTCCTTCCTAGCAGGAGGCCAGCTGCTTTAGATGCTGGATCTGTATGTTTTTTGTACATAAATAAAGAGGAAATTTTAAATGAAATGAATTCAACTTCAAGGCTGGGCGTGTTGGGGAGTTCAAAGACGATCTTCTGCAAACCTTGGTTGTAACGTGTGGTTACATTAGTTGCTGTTGCCTTCCTCTCAGATCAAATGTGTCAAGCTGTTCTTCTCTGAGCTCTGGCATCAATATGGCTGTTCTGTCCTTGCAGTGAGTTTCCATTTTTTAAACTTGACAGATCACTTACACTATGAAGATTTTCAATGGAAACAAGACTCACCTTGTCTTTACACCAACACGCACACACATGCACACACACACGCACACACACACACAGGTCACCGTGTTTTCTGTTTTCTCTCTAGGCTGAGTCCGCATGGTGAAAAAAGAGAATCCAGCAGCAGAGGGCAGTGAGGTTTTATATTCAGCGGGAACAAATTGTTGTCCGTGTGTGCCACACTTCTTTTCAAAGATAAAAACAATTTTGCAAAGGAAACAGCGTAGTATTCTCAATAATTTCTCCTCTGGCAATTCCCACATTTGTTTTAGGAATTAAAGCATCCTTAAAAATGGCATAGCCTTTCTGGATCACAGGCTGGAGGAAAGAGGACAGAAAAGTTGAGGAGGCACACATTAGAAAATAAATAAAGCCTTGAGTAGATTACAGCAGGTGGAAATGCTGTAGTGACGTCAGAAACATGGCCTGTTCAGTTTCTTGCTGAGTTACCTGCTCAGGTTGCAGGTCATGCATTAGCTCAGCCATCAGTTTGGCTATTTACTCCACCACCTATTCAGCGATCACCTTCATCTGCTCCTCCTGTACAGCAAATTATGTCAATACAATCCATAAAGGACTGTTTTGCAACCACTAATTCAAAGCAGAGAGACAAACCTGTTAAGACTATTTCGTTCCTCAAAAGGTGGCCTGCTTGGAGACAGTAACTCTCTCCAGGGCTTCCCCAGAGACTGAGTTTCAACCCTTAGCCGACTCTGGACCCCTGGAGGCCAAGAAGCCAGCTGAGAACTGCACCCTGCTGTCGTTGCCAGAGCAGAGTAAAAGCCCTGCGCAGCTCCAGCCTGCTTTGTGTTTGCCAGAGGTATCTGAGCCTGCTGGTTCCGTTCTGATCCTGCCGGAGGTCCCTTCACCTGCTGGTTCTGTCCTGTTCAGGAGGTCCCTTCACCTGCCAGTTTACGTTCCAGCTGGAAGGTCTGAGGGGCCTGTCCAGCCATCTGCCTCCACTGGAGGGTCCAAGGGGCCCTTCCAGTCGTCTGCCTTTGCTGGAGGGTCCGAGGGGCCCATTCAGCAGCCTATC